GCAGGACACAGGTATGGGGTAAATTATAAAACCAGACCATATAATAACGTGTTAATTGCATGGCTCCCACTGCTTTGTAGTGTTTCGATGCTGAAACTGTATTTTTCTGAGATGGGGATTACCACTGAAACCATTTTTTAAGTCCCCTGTGGCTTCTCCTCTTCATGTGTAACCCCAGTAATTAATGTACAAAGCAAGGAGTCGGAGACAAGACGAAAATTAATCTAATGGTCCAGGTGTGTAGAGCTGCAGAGGTTAACAACCTGTCACATTGCTCTTGGAATTTTAGAAAGGTAGAAAGGAGGGTGTGTGTTGTTGAGAGACACTCGTGTCTTTAACCTACCACTTATACTTCGCCCAAGGACATTGAAGCCAGAGGCATCCTAATTCAAAGATAATTAAAGACCTAGTCTAAAAACCCTCCACTTGACCCAAGTCAGTAGTTGTAAGGACAGATTTTGGTAAATAATTATGTTAAGGCTAGGTCCTGTCTTACCCCCTCAGAATCTTATAACTATTTATTTCTACATCCGTTCAGTGAGCTTTCATTTTATTGACTGATGGATGGATTGATTTTAATCTATGATGTGCCAAGCCCTTTGCTGGAAATTGTGACGTAGGCGTGAATAAGCTGTGGTCACTACCTTCCTCATGCTCTATTGAAGAGAGTGTTGAACTTTATCACCATTAACTTATAACTAGATTATAAATTATAATCTAACTTATATAAAATATATATAATAATCTAACTATATATATAATATATATATAATCTAACTGTTATAAAAAGCTATAACAGTTGTGTAAAGGTGATATTAGCATGAAATGAACCTAGAGATTCCTAACTGATGTCAGGTTATTTGATTTTTTTGTAGATAGAGAATTGGTCATAAAGTATACTACTAAAACTCTGTAGTGGCTTGAAATGTTGTGAGCATTTACCTGAATAGCTTTAGGGTTGTTTTTTTTTTTTTAACTTGTCTCCAACCTTGGCTCAAGTATTTTCCTCTACTGACCTTTCTCCCCAGAAGCATGATGTTTCTGTGTTTGCCTGTACAAATGGAATGATTCAACGTTCTTGCCTCTGAGACACATTCATGCTCTGATTTGTGTGGGTTTCCCATAGGGAGGATTATTGATCAACCATCATGCAGACCAGTCTCTGAATAGTTTCTGTCAATGGCAGTCCGCCCTCACTGGAAAGAATGGCAAGAGGCATGACCATGCCATCCTCCTCACGGGATTTGACATTTGTTCCTGGAAGAATGAGCCATGTGACACTCTAGGTATGGTATGAATGGATGCTTCACTCACACCTGCGAAAACAGTAAGGAAACTTTCTACTGGCTGGGTAGCCCTTAGGACCCTTAATAAGGAGACTTAATATTTAAATGGCGGACTATGTTTACTGTACCATCTGGTGAATGTTGTTCTATTCAACCGAAGTCAGGGTAGAATGGTGAGCTCGTTTCCTTTATTTGTTTTGTATTTTTCTTTATTAACTCTATTGATGACCATTGAGATAAATGGTTTAACTAGCCTAGTTGTGGTTTATTCTCTAAGCATCGTGACTGCAGAACTGGGTAGCTGAAGAGAATTTGACTGTTCTTCATGGTACATAGCTCTGCCCCTAGTTAGCAGTCCATCCTTTAGAAAGTTACACATCCTTTAGAAAGGGACGCATCTTTTCTATATTTGCACTAGACACTGAGTAAGGACTCTATACTGCATTTTCTAGTATGTTCCATTGCATACAGTAGGGACTCCCCAGTTATTTTTGATGGATCGATGATCATCTAGATCATTGTGATGGTGGTGATGGTGATGATAGGCTGGGTTTCTCGCATCATCTCACGGACCTCATAGCAGCAAGGTGGGTGCAGTTGACCCACAAGTGTGCATGTAACACTAACTGGGTACATAGCCTATACTGGGTACAGAGCCATGAGCCTGTTCTACTGCTTATGAGGACGCAGAACTGGGAAGAAAGACAGTTAACACCACAGTGTGGTTCCAGACAGAATCAAGCACTGGCTGGAATGATTTTTTAGCTGTTGTTGGCAGGAAGTCGTTTTTGAAAACAGAAGCATTTTTCACATTATAGAGAACAGGAGAATAATGCACTTAATCCCTTGACGTTGTTCAGGCCTTTTTGTGCTACCTGCTTCAGAAAAAGACCAGG